GGGGGGCCGGCTGCCCCCCTTGCCTTTTGCTAGGGGGGGGGGGCAGAAGTGCCCTTTTAGTTGTAAAATACTACGAGATAAATCACATTCCCAACTATGCTGTTTGTAGGAAAATCATGAGATTCAGGTAATTTATAGTTTATATTTATAAAAATTTGGGAAAATTTTTGGAATTTAGAAAAATATTTTGAAGAAATGGCGAAAATTTAAGATATGCGGAAAAATTTTTGTCTTCACGGAAAATTTTGGTAGGGGGGAGGGGGGAGGTCGCCATAAAAATTTCCATTGAAAAAAAATTTCCGGTAGATTTATAATTTTTGCTCTATAGAGGTGCCCTTGGTGTGGGTCCACCCCCCTTTGCCTTATTATCGTTCCGGCGTCCCTGACTTGTAGTCGTGTTTTATCACATATAAAATACTCCGCTACGCGTCGTGTTTTATATGTGATAAAACACTCCTACGCGTGCTTTAAATAGTACATATTTTACAACTGTAGCACTGAATTCAAAATCGGCGGCGGTAAACAAAGCGTTTGTTTACATTACGGACTTTACATCACCTTAAAAACTCATTAATAATTCAGGAGGAAAACACAAAGAAAAATAGGTACGCATTGCGTACATGTGGTTAGCCTATAGGATTGGCGTCATATAGCTGATTTCGTTCAATATAATGAACGAAATATCTTGCTTGATTTTTCAACCATTGAACCATAAAATTGTTATTCTTCATTCTTTGTCGTATGAAGCCAGATACCGTATAACATAGCCGTAATACAGCAACCTTTTCAAAAACAACCAGAAAATGTTAAAAATAAAATTTTAAAACTCTTTCTCGCTCAGTCCCAAGCATGGTAGGTCGCTAAAAGCTGCCAACCTTTGGATGTTCATACCTTGAGTTCAGTGCATGCTATGAAGACAAGAATACCATCATTTGATTCAGTGAAAAAATCAAATAGTTCCTTACAATAGTTTTGCATGGTCATTATCAACATTGTAGCGATTTATTGCCTCTGAAAGGCAAGCGAGATTGTATATTATCGAATTACACAATAAAAATAATATAGACTGGCCGTACCTTTCGCTGAACATATAACTTCGGCCACGCTATAGGGGTGATGTGTTTCCGACGAATGGGTTTCCGACGTTTCCCGAGTGCTAGGACAGCATTGGTTCGACAATCAGTTTGTATTTCCGGTTAAAGCTCTCACTAAAAAATTAAAAATTTAGGTATTCTGAAATACCGAAATAAAAGATGCAAATCTGTAGATACAAGCTTGAAAATAACACTCTGAATAGTGCTTTGGATTCTGATTCGGACAAGACTTTTACGAAATAAAAGATATGTTGAAAGGGATCGAAGTTCTGTTCGGCGAAAGGTTATGCACTTATGCCTTGGTAATACATTGACATTGTTTACATTGTTCGGGAAAATTGTGTGAAATATTTTTCGCACATGATCAGACTAAAAACTGTCACACTGAACATTTTATGGTTTTCTACATAGTGGTTAGCTGCGCATGCGCAGGCTAATGGTTAGCCGCGCATGCGCAGGCTAACCACAAAAATCATAAGCGTGTCGTATTATTATTATTATTATTAATCAATCAAAATCTTTACACACGGTAGCCTATTCAGTAACTATTAAAAACTAACTTTATATTTACAAGAGGTACTGGTTTTCAAAGGGCCGTGTAATAGAAACGAAATCCTATTTACTATGATACAATACTAAATTAAGTTATAATTAATGTATAATTAATGATCCAACCAATTAAGCGGTTTTATCAAGTCGCCGTTTGAAAGCGTTAACTGATAGCTCACAGAAATCTTCAGTTATATCATTAGATAATTCGTTCCAGGACTTTGCCGCTTTATATGAGAAGCTTCTTTTTAAGAAATTAGTCCTTGGTTTTGGGAGTGCCAATTTGGTGTTATTACTTCTTAGACTGTAATTATCGTTATTGCACTCAGTAAATAATTGCTGTAAATAATCCGATCCTTGCCCGGTTAAAACTTTGAATGTCATAACAGTTTCC